CAGGTCTTGAGCAGTCCAAGCAAACAACGTATGTTACAATGAAGCTTAAACTTGTTCTTCATAATAATTTTAAAAACAATATTAGCTGCCTATTTAATTTAAAAAACAGCAAAAAATATCCATCTCTTTCCATTTCTTATAAGGAGTCTTGAAGTTTCAATCTCCTCAGTGTGATAGATCTGCCTGCTTTGATCTGCTTAGCTCTTGGAAGTCCAGGGGCCTGTGCTGCCCAGGGTCACTAGGGACAGCTCTGTCCGCCATTAGGGATTTTTTCCCCCGAGAATCCCCTGCAAAAGTTTGCGAACCCCCAGGGGTTCATGAACCCCAGTTTGGGAACCACTGACATAGAGCTAACTTACACTGGCAACTTACATTAGCATAGGTGCATGTTTCAATGGCATGAAAAATCTGCACTCTTGAGAGACGTGATTATGCCAACCTAACCCCCAGTGTAGACAGCACTAGGTTGCTAGAAATCTTCTGTCGACCTAAAGTCTGGGCTACTCTAAAAAGTTAGGTGGACCTAGCTACATTGTGTAGGGGTGTGTAGTGGTGTAGTTATGCAGACCTAGCACCCAGTGTAGACAGCATGAGGTCAATGGAAGAATTCTTCTGTTGACCTAGCTGTTGTTTCTTAGGGAGATGGATAACCTACGCTGATGGGAGAACCCTTCCCGTTGGTATAGGTGATGAAGTGCTAGAGCAGTGTAGCTGCAGTATTTTATGCATAGACAAGCCCTAGGTATAAATATGTAGCCATACATCAGCCATGCCCTCCCAACCTCTTAAGTCCTGCAGTGGTCTCTTGCTCTGGTGATTTTACCCAGTATGAGATGGGTTTATGAGGGCTTCATGGGCCACAACTTGGGAACTACTGGCTTAATATAAAGGGGAAGGGGTTTGGTCAAGACTTTTTATACCCAGTGTTGGACCTGTCTTAATTGTAATCTGATTTCTGGCTGTAATAGTTTGAAGGGCTTTTTTTACCAGTTGCTTTTCAAAGAAATAAAAAACACATACTATTTCTGGGTCACATGAAAATTTATTTTAAAAACATTATAATGGTGCAAAAATGTTTTATTGTAATACCTAGTTAATAGCAAAATATGATGTTGAATTTCATAGGCCCAAGGTTTGTGTATAATATTAGCTATGCTTTCTGATAGAGAATACTTTAGGAAATGTACTTTACTATGGGTGTATATATAAAAGGTTAGCTTACTTAAGTGTTTAAAACCTTTTTGCCCAATCTGTGATATTTTAATCTTATGAAATTGGGGCAACACCCCTCCCATCAGAACTACTTTGGGATTTTTTGCCAGAATCTGCAGAATTTAGTTAGCAAGAGGTTGCTGGGCCACACACACACACACACCTCTACCCCGATATAATGCTGTCCTTGGGAGCCAAAAAATCTTACCGCGTTATATCGAGCTTGCTTTGATTCGCCGTAGCGCGCAGCCCTGCCCCCCCGGAGCGCTGCTTTACCGCGTGTATCCGAAGTTGTGTTATATTGGGTTGTGTTATATCGGGGTAGAGGTGTATATATAAATAAAATCTTCTTTCTCTCTATGGTCCTATTCCACCATTTTCCAGCTGGTATTGTAAGACAGAAGGAGTTTTGAATTAGGTTGTTTTAGTGCCTGTTGATCTGTACAAAACTTCATAGAAATTCCATAACACCATGCAAAACACACCACAGGAGCCCCAAATCTGGTGACTGAGAACAATGCACACAACGCTTTCATTAACTGAAATACTTACCCAAATTCTTAAAGATTGTTTTATTTGAATTATGGGGACTGTCTGCTTGTTTTTGTGTCTGGTTAGAACTTTGCCCTCCTATACAAGAGAGGTGAATTCTGTTCTCTTGCTTCCTTATATTTGTCAGGGCCAGGGTGCACTGGAGAAGCAATAGGATCAGGCAGTGCTAAGAAGGTATCATGTTCCTCTGAAGCAGTCAGGATAGCAAAACAGTGAGCAGGGTTGATGGGCGCCAAGGTCCTTTCAGCCTTTTAATACAGAGGAAAAGATGATGAACGCAAAGGAGGGTGCTCAAGAGGATTTTTGGGAGCAGGTGCTCAGGTTGGGAGAACACAGGAGTGTTTGGGTGGTGGGGGGGGCATGTCTTAATGTGGAAGATCAAGTTGAGGGTTCTCTCTGCTTGGTGTTATTCCTCCTGACTTTCCAGTTTCCATCCTTTTACATTCTGTGACTCCTCCCACCACTATTCTATTTTCTTCTATCTGATTGGGGACCAAGAGTCCACATGCTTTGGAGATAGAATCTGCCCACCTTTCTGCTGACCTAAGTTGTGTACAGGAGTCCTAGTATTTTTCTGCATCAGACTGAGAAACATCAGCGAGCGGATAAGGGTTCAAAATCCTAAATTAAAAGGTTGACAAATGATACAAATGTCAATTCATATAAGGTTCCTGGGGTAGAGTGGAGATAGAGACTGACAGAAAAGTTCTGTGTTGGGAGTAGAACTTACTAGAACGGGGGTGGGCAAACTATGGCCCGCGGGCCGGATTCAGCCCCTCAGGGCTTTGGATCCGACCCACAGAATTGCCACCCCTGTGATGCTGCGGGCCTCATGCCACTCCCGGAAGCAGCCGGCACCACGTCCCTGCGGCCCCTGGGGGAGGGGGAGCAGAGGGCTCCACGCGCTGCCCTGAAGCTCCCATTGACCACGGTTCCCTGTCCCCAGCCAATGGGAGCTTCAGGTGTGGAAACCACAAGTGAAGGCAGCGCGTGGAGTCCTCTCCCCAGCCCCCAACCCCAGGCGCCGCAGGGACGTGGTGCCAGCTGCTTCCGGGAGCGGCATGGGGCCAGGGCAGGCAGGGAGCCTGCCTTAGCGGCGCGGCACCACTGCCACCCCGGAGCCACTCCAGGTAAGCAGTGCCTGGCCGGAGCCCGCACCCCGAAACCCTCCTGCACCCCTGCCCTGAGCCCCCCTGCCGCACCCCTCGTGCACCCCAACCCCCTGTCCTGAGCCCCCTGCCACATCCCGCAACCTTCCTGCACCCCAACCAC